TGTCAGGAAATTTCTCCTTAGTTCTAAATTGCTTCTCCCTTTGATTAGTTTCCACCCATTGCTTCTTGTCCTGCCCTCAGGTGCTTTGGAGAATAGCTTGACTCCCTCTCTTTGGGGCAGCCTCTCAAATACTGGAAGACTGCTATCATATCCGGGGTAAGCTATCCATGCGCCCACCAGAATAGCTGAGACCCAGTCAACAGGCCTGCTGGCCCCAACTTGAGGCCTACCTTGGAGTAGGCCAACTTGGTGAATGCCTTCTTGGCTTCGGTGGGTTCCAGGAACTCCATGATGGCTGTCACTCCTCCTTCCGGCAGCAGGACCCGGCCGAGGCTCCCGAAAGGCCCGAAGACCTCCTCCAGCTGTTCCGCCTTCGTGCCAGCTGGCAGGTTCTTCACCAAAATCACCGTCTTGCTCCGTTCTCCAGCCGCCTGCAAGAAAGGAAAGAGAGGGAGGCTGCGTTGCAAAGAGAGCCGATCCTTACGATCGCCCCGAAAGGCTACAAAAAGCAAAGGATTTGACAGCCAAGGGAAGCAAGTATGCAGATTGGATCCCGTTTGCGTTGGGAAAGCTTCCCGGCACGTAGAAACTGAGAAAATTAGAGAACCTCCCTCTATTCTTTCTTTCTTTCTCTTCCTTCTTCCACCTCCCTTTCTCTCTCCCTCAATCCCTTTTTCTTCCTTCCTTCCTCCCACTCTTTCCTTTTTGTTTCTTTCTTTTTCTCCCTTCCTTCCTTCTTCCCCCCACCCTCTCTCAATCCCTCTTCCTTCTTCCCTCCCCCTTTTCTTTTTCTTCCTTCCTTCTCTCCTTCTTGCCCCTCCCTCAATCCCTCTTCCTTCCTTCCTCCCTCCCTTTTCTTTCTTTCTTCCTTCCACTTTCCCTCCTCCTTCCTTCCTCCCTTCCTTCTTCAATCCCTCTTCCTCCCTCCCTCAATCTCTCTTCCTTTCCCCCCTCCCTTTTTCTTTCTTTTTCTTTCTTCGTCGTTCCCTCTTCCTTCTTTCCTCCCTTCCTCCTTCAATCCCTCTTCCTCCCTCCCTCAATCTCTTCCTTTCCCCCTCCCTCCTTTTTCTTTCTTTTTCTTTCTTCCTTCCTCTTTCCCTCCTCCTTCCTTCCTCCCTTCCTCCTTCAATCCCTCTTCCTCCCTCCCTCAATCTCTCTTCCTTCCTCCCTCCCTCCCTTTTCTTTCTTCCTTCCTTCCTCTTTCCCTCTTCCTTCTTTCCTTCCTTCCTCCTTCAATCCCTCTTCCTCCCTCCCTCAATCCCTCCTTCCTCCCCCTCCCTTTTCTTTCTTTTTCTTCCTTCCTTCCTCTTTCCCTCTTCCTCCCTCCCTCAATCTCTCTTCCTTCCTCCCTCCCTCCCTCCCTCCCTTTTCTTTCTTTTTCTTTCTTCTTTCCCCTTTCCTTCTTCCTTCCTTCCTCCCTCAATCCCTCTTCCTCCCTTCCTCAATCTCTCTTCCTTCCTCCCTTCCCTTAGAAGCTCACAACAGAAAAAGAAACCAGGGAAAAGGGAAAAAAAGGTGAAAGAAAACAAGATTGAAAAAAAATAGAAAGAAAAAAAATATAAAAGTGCCTTTCAATATTCTCCACAGCAGATATAGGCCCGTATATATATTTATACATATTTTAATATATTTTGACAGCTCTTCTAAAGCTACATATTTCTTTTCTCTCTCTAATCTATTCTTTCTAATCCTCAAAAACCATCAATCGCAAATTCGCTTTCTTTTTTCCCCCCGCGTTGATGCAATAAGCTGTGAAGCTCGCTTTCTTCCGCTAAGGAGCTTCGGAACCGCAGGGATGTTGGAACAAAAAAAAACACCCCTTGCTCAAATTTTCTTTTCTGACGGCTTCAACCGCTTCTCGCGACGTCACACATTTAGCGAGACGGAATGAGGGTTCGAACGGCCGCCGTTCCCTTACCTGGCTGAAGGAATCCAGGCTGACTCCGTTGTCCAGCAGGAACCGGCGAACGTTTTGAACAAGTTCTGTTTCCCCGAGTGCCACCCTCACCGCCACGCTGCCCTTGCCTTCCTGCCAAGAGAAAAAAAGGAAGTAAGAGGCATTCAGTTTTGGTCACAACACCATCAAAAAGATGTTTCCTTTTCTTCTCTCCCTTCCTCCCGGGCAAAGTATCTTTGTCCTTTGAATAGGAAGTCTCTTGGGCTCAGTTTCCAGTTTTGGTCACCATCACAGAGAATCTCTACTGCACCCTTGATCAAAAAAGGGCAGGAGACCTCCGGACTATAAAACTGGGACTTCCCCTCCACCCAGAATCCGCCACCAATCGGTCCCCGGTTCCTGTAGATTAGAATATCCCTCTTATGAGGAGAGAGTTGATTTGCAAGGCTCCATCAGGAATGTTCTCACAGTGAGAACCATCAACCCATGGAACAGAAGTTGCCTTCGGAAGTTGTGGGAGCTTCATCACTGGAAGCTTTCAAGAAGAGTTTGGACTGCCATCTGCCAGAAATGGTGCAGGGCCTCCTGCTTAGAGGGGGGTTGGACTAGATGACCTACAAGGTCCCTTCCAACTATGTTAATTTGAATTTATCTAAGATGAACGAAGACCTGGAGACTAAAACATAGGATGAACGGTTGCAGGAACTGGGCGTGGCTACTCTAATGAAGAGAAGGACCAGGGGAGACAGGATAGCAGTCTTCCAACATTTGAAGGTCTGCCACAGAGAGGAAGAGGTCAAGCTATTTTCCAAAGCATCTGAAGACCAGACAAGGAATAATGGATGGAAGCTGAACAAGGAGAGATTCAACCTAGAAATAAGGAGNAAGAACTCTTCCCTTGTGCTGCTGTTATCAGGGGTGTCTTCAGATTATGGTGTAAAAAAAAAAAAACTCAGCCCACACCTCACAATGGCAGTGGTAACAGTGTGATCAAAACTCCATTTTTTTTTTAATATTGCACTTAAAAGATGGACAGTGTTGTGCCCCATTGTGGCTGCCATTTTGAGATATATTTTTTTTAAATCACACCCTGCAGATATCTCCCACAGCTACTTTTCCTCAGCTGTCTGTGAATGTATTATGCAGTGATGGCGAACCTTTTTCACCTCGGGTGCCAAAAGCGTGCACACTATTGCGCATACTCGCGTGCCCACCCCCGTAACTTAAGGGGGGGGCACGCCGTGCCCCCTGTGCATGCGCGTGTGACACACACACATACACCCCCGCGCATACGCGCACAGCTTTCTTAGAGCCTAGGGAGGGTGAAAATGGCCTCCCCTACCCCTTGGAGGGCCTCTGGAGGCTTGAAACGGCCTATTTTCCGACTTCCAATGGACCTAGTAGGTCCGTTTTTGTCCTCTCCAGACTCCAGAGGATTTCTAGGAGCCTGGGGAAGGGGGAAACAGCCACCCCCAAAGGCCCGCCAGAGGCTGGAAACATTTTCTGACTTGTGGTTTGCACATTGGGTGGGTTTTTGCCTTCAGGAGGCTTTCCTGAAGCCTCCAGAGGGTGAAAAACTGCTGAAAATCAAGGCCAAAATCAGCTGGCCAGCACGCGCTGGAGCTGACAGGGCAACGCCTTATGTGCCCTCAGAAATGGTTCCACGTGCCACCTGTGGCATGCTTGCTATAGGTTCGCCATCACAGGTACAATATATGTTTTGGTGAGGGGGAGGATTACAGCAAGGACAAACCTAATATTCAACAATGGATGCGGTAGCTTGTTCACATGAAAGCAATTCAAAAAATGCAGTCCGGTTGATCAAAACGTGTTTCTTAATAGCACAAGATTGTGATCCTTTTGACTATGAAACTTTATTTTATTCCTGCTATGACGTTTGTGATTTTTGAGAAAACCACTGATTTTAAAAGGTGAAAACCTTGGTGAATTTCAGCCTGTTTCATTTTTTTTATTTCAGGAGGCTCCAAAGAAATTTCCAGAGCTGGAAAAAAGATCTGAATATTTCATAAAAATTTCTCTTCAGATCAAGAATCTGTATGATAGCAAGAAAGCCTTAATAACCAAGGGGTTTCCTGACATTTCTCGCCAGGAAGCCAATAACATCAAAAGGCTTCAAATAGAAAATGAGCGCATAAGTAACAGCCTTTACAGCTTGTTGAACAAACTTCAGGTACTAGCTTTAAATAGTATTTTGTATCACATGCTAAACTATTAAGTGGTTTGTTTAGTTTTAACTTTGAGTGTAAATTTTGTTCAGTTTTGGAAGTCGAGTGGATCTCGACTTACAACTATAATGAGGTCTGCCCATTGATGTCATAAATTGTGACTGCCATAAAACAGATGATCACATGAGTGACCCGATTTTATAACATTTTGGGGGCAGTTCAGTAACTCACCATGGTCATTAAGTGAATCTGTGGTCAATAAGTGGACTCACTGTTGTTAAGTGAACCCATTGTTCATTAAGTATAAGTATGATCTTTATTGTCATTGTACTTAAATACAACGAAATTGGTTATAGGGCATTTTTGCCCGAACCCAGAAGTTAATGCTGGTTTTCAGCACAAAATGTGATAAATCCCAGTCATGTGACCATGTAACACTGGAAATGTCTGCAAGCGTCTGAAATGTGGCCACACAACTGCAGGGGGGCCACAGCCATCAGAAGTTCACAACAAGTTTGTAAGTAGCATTGGGTTTTGTCTGTGGTAACTTTCAAAACTATGCAACTGGTCATAAATCAAGGACTACCTGACCTAAATCTATCCTTGGGGGTTAAACTATAATTCATGGCTTAGTGGGCCTTACAAACTCAGTAAGTCACATGTAAATCTGTTAGCTTCTGTTAGTTCTTTTGTACAGTTTAGATTACAGGCAATACTCGACTTGCAACAATTGAGCCCAAAATTTCTGTTGCTAAGCAAGATAGTTGTTAAATGAGTTTTGTCCCTTTCCTGCCATAGACAGTGTATCACTGCAGTTGTTAAGTTCGTATCACAGTGGTTAAGTGAATTTGGCTTCCCCGTTGACTTTGCTTGTCAGAGATGATCACATGACCCTGGAACACTGTAACTGTGATAAATATAAGCTAGTTGCCAAGGTTCTTAATTTTGATCACATGACTGTGGGATACTGCAATGGCCATAAACATATTGTAACTTTAAACGATCACTAAATCTGAATATGTTCAAATTTTAAGGAAGATCTCTCTTGTATCAGAGCAGAGGTCTATCTAGTTCAGACTTCCCCAGTTTGAGACTCCTCCAAAGAGGAGCACTTCAGCTTCCCAAATTCCCTAGCCAGCAATCCTTTGTTGAGAATTTCAGACATTGTCTATATATCCAAGTGGGGAAAGATTGATCCAGTCTACAATTCTGTTGTTTGTAGACTAAGTTGTTTTTTTGGGGAACAGTCAATTCTGAACCTCCGGAACAAGCAGCACAAACTCTCTTCAACAATGGGTAGCATAAGATTCAATAGAAAAACAGGCTAATAGGAATGTTAAAGGTTTCCCTCGCACATTCGTGCTAGTCATTCCCGACTCTAGGGGGCGGTGCTCATCTCCGTTTCAAAGCTGAAGAGCCAGCGCTGTCCAAGGACATCTCCATGGTCATGTGGCTGGTATGACTAAATGCCGAAGATGCATGGAACACTGTTACCTTCCCACCAAAGGTGGTTCCTATTTTTCTACTTGCATGTTTTATTGCTTTCGAACTGCTAGGTTGGCAGAAGCTGGGACATTTTGATTCTAAAGGAAGAAAGGAAGGAAGGAAGGAAGGAAGGAAGGAAGGAAGGAAGGAAGGAAGGAAGGAAGGAAGGA